TCTGCTCCCTGGGTTTCAGTGGATCTCATGTCCTCAGCTCAATAGCCGGGAATTAAGGCACGCGCTGTCCCACCGCCGCTAATTTTTGTATTTTTTTTTTTAGTAAGAAGATGCGGGTTTCACCATGCCTGAACCCAGCTGGTAAGACTCTTTAATAATTCTACTATTAAGTATTATGTTCTCTTTATATATATCCTTATCGTCTTTATCTTCTTCCTCCTTCCTTTTCAACCTGGATTTCTTACCAAAATGTTTTTTTAAGTTTTGGCCCCTTTAAATTGAATTGTCTTTTGCCTGAAAACAAACCCTGATCCAAGGCATGCCTGATGGCACTTTCCAACCTTCAAGAGAGCTTTTAAAAATATAAAGCACTGGCTAATAATGGGGAATGGGCAAGGCCTTGCCAGATAACCTCACTAGTACGGGGCGCGCGATTAGTACTTCAGATGAAAAAAAAAAAAAATCACCACACCACTGCCTCTTTAGGCGCGACTGAAATGAAACAAAAAGGGCAAACAAAAGTTAATGTTCAAATGATGTTGTGCTAGTAACTCTTTTATCAGGAGTAAAAGGTACTCTATGAAAATTTAACTAACAGAATCAAATGACTTATGTAGAGGAACAGATTAAAAACTTCGTATTTGACTATAGTGTGGCAGTTTACGCAGTTGACATGAAAAATGACAGTACGCGACGAGAAAGTGACTTAGGACCTATTAGTTAGAGGATACACATCAACAACTCTAGTAGATGACGAACGAATAATACTTTTCTATTCTATAATAAATGCTATTTCATGATATGTCTCAAGAGCATTGATACTTGATAATGGGCCAGGGTCATCCTCTCTGAAAGGTTCTCTGGGGAAGACAGGAACAGTGTAATCTGCATTTGCTGATTCCTAGTTTCCTAGCAGGACACCATTAGAGAGCAGTACCTTTTTCCAGGAGCTCTTTCATAGTGGGACGCTTTTCAGAAGAAGGGAAAAAAAGAAACAAAAGGGTGGTCTTTTTTTTAGAAATGCAGTGACATGGATTAATGTCCAAGTATACCTAGACTGATTTCTGACTTTCCGAATGAGCATTCCATTTTAGACAGAATAGGAAATTATACACTGCCTTTTGTTACAAAGCATAAAAACGAACTATATCCCATGTACCTACATAGTTGTTGACTGAATCATTTAGGGGAGAATCCTTTACTGAGTCCTACATATTAGCAGCACATAGTTTTGGAGGCCGAGAAGTGGGCTCAAAGGAACATTTCCCCTGCCATGAAGGAGATACCACATTTGTGGAAGAAGGTATCCACTTATTGGCCTCTGAGGGGCCTTCTCTCCTATACACTGTGAAAAGAGAAGGAAAGGCAGTCATTCTGAAAACGCCTCCGATGGGCAAAAAACATGAGAATCGACTCAGCCTGAATGCAGCTCTGTCAGACCTGAATAGGAAGAATGTTTTAAATAAGTTTCTGCTTGTGGGATTTTTCCTTTTGCGCCTGAGCAGAGTTAACGAGCCTTCAAACTGATATAATTTCAAAAAGATTCCTGTTTTCTGCCAAAGAATAATACTATGGTCTAACTTCTGACATCAGCAGGCTATTGTGAGGTTCTAAACTTGGGATCATTTACATGTTATCTAATTGAATTAAAATAATAAAAGGAGCTCCACGACTTTATACTTTGGAATAGTAAACATGAATTCCATTTTTCTCAGTCATGAATTCCTTTACTTAAGTTGATACATTCATTCCAGATATAATTTATTTTGTAATAAAATACACCCCGTCTATAAATATATAACAGAAATTCAATCCATACCTGTTATCAAAGCGTGTAGATTTCCCACCAAGAAAATAACTTATTTATGATCCCTAAATTCTCAATGAACTTTGGGGTTCTGAAAGTTTCAAAAAAGAAAGTGCCAAGACCAGCTGACAAACTGTCCCAGGCCAAAGAAGTACACAGCATTCTCTGAAACATGAAAGGGGCAATACAAGAGAATCATATATGGAAGGCAGAACACTGGTACCATCATATCTGGAAAAATTGTCGACATTCAACCTTTTATAGTGAAGGTTAGCCTCTGGGGGGAAAAAAAAACCCATTAAGAAAAAATCTAACAATTGAAAGTATCTTGAAGTATAAATCTTTCAATGACGAAGGAAGAGAAAAATGAAAAGGTACATAATTATAAAAATTATGACATGGGTATGATTTTATCTTTTATACGTAAACATAAAAGTTAGGTAAGTAACAGGTATGATACAAGGCACATAAGTCAGGGAACTCCCTGAAACGTCCCCATAATTACATCGGCTCAAAAAGTACCAACTATCGGCCGGTAGCTCACGCCTATAATCCCAGCACCTTGGGAGGCCAAGGCGGGTGGATTGCTTGAGGCCAGGCTTGAGACTGGCCTGGCCATCATGGTGAAACCCCATCTCTACTAAAATTACAAAAATTAGTTGGGCATGATGGCACGCATCTGTAATTCCAGCTACATCGGGAGGCTGAGGCAGAAGAATCGCTTGAACCCAGGTGCACCACTGCACTCCAGCCTGGGTGATAGAGCGACATTCCACCTCAAAAAATAAAAAAGAAAGTACCAACTGTCATTAAGCTAATTCACTATGTCAAATAAAAAGTGAAGAGTGTCTCCTACAGAAAAACTTCTTCCTTTTAAAAGTAGTTTACGCATCACCTAAGGTCAGGAGTTGGAGAAGAGTCTGGCCAATGTGGTGAAACCGTCTCTACTAAAAATACAAAAATTAGCCGGGCGTGGTGGTGTACACCTGTAATCCCAGCTACTAGGGAGGCTGAGGCAGGAGAATCGCTTGAACCCAGGAGGTGGAGGTTGCAGTGACCCGAGATCACGCCACTGCACTCCAGCCTGGGCAACAGAGCAAGACTCCATCTCAAAAATAAAATAAAACAAAATACAAGTAGTTTAATAATCTATTTTATAAAACCCAATTTCAGAGAATTGTCTTGAGAATTAAAACTGATAGTACATATGCTACAGTTATTCACAAGTAAAGCTTCTTTACTAGGAAATGCAACTATAATAGGAGGGAAAAAGCTTTTCTTTATATTGATATTTTGAAGTGATTCCAGAGGACTTCCAGTAACTCATTAAATATTATGTCATATGTTTTCTAGAAATGAAAAAGTACAAAAACAAGATACAAGTGTGATGATGAAAGGGTCCTTTTAGAGACATGCTCCTCGCTGCTGCATTAGGACGCGCAGTGTCGATTACATTAGTCACTTCTCCTTAGTACACTGAGATTAGTACATTGAGTTTCTCCTATTACAGGAGGAAGGGTAAGCGCTTGGTATTCATGCCAGAACCCAAACCTTCATTATTACTAGCTGTGGCAAGCTATAATCCCTATCTAATAGAGTTGCTGACAAGATTAAAAGAGAAAACATTCAGGCAGATTTGAAAACATAATATGACATTCTGTTGTAAAGAAAATTTTTCTAAAAAGTATCTAATCAACTCATTCTGTCAATAGGGGCTACAAATGAAAACCTAACTGTCTATGGCCATGTGGTTTTACAATTTTTTCTAATAAAAATGTTTGCTTCATAAATAAGACAAATAGATATTACTCCTTAAAGAAAATATGCTCTATTAAGGATATGAAGCCATATTGAGGCAATGGCAAAACAGATCTTTATTTTAATATTAAAAAACCATCTTAGTTTAATTAATAATCACATGGCATATTTCCAGTTCTAAATGTTCAGCTTAACAGTAGAATACTGGGTAAATTAAAACAACTATCTATCTCTAGCTAACCAACAATTACTCTACATTTCTTAGGCTGTCTGACTTCAATTAGCCTGTGAAATGAGGCTGTTTAGGCAGTCTGAATCATGTTACAAAAGTTTTGTTCCGTATCCTGGTAGGTTCCCATTCAGGTGCTTGGATATTAGTGATGACAGTAGTTTCTATTTTATAAAAATGATCTAAGGTGCTCTTATTTAAGGACATTATATTTAACAACCAATAGAATTTTTGGCCATATCACCTTTGTGACATTTAACAACATAATTTAATGTTAATAAGTAATATTACATTAGGAAAACAGATTTGATCAGTTAGCTTCAGATCAATATTACTGTAATTTCACAGAATATATTTGATTTCAGAACGAATAATTTGTTAACCTGTAGAACACTTAAGTTTATCCAAACATAATCTTAGAAGTTAAGATAAATTCTCATTTGCCTCAGGACCCAGACTTCATTGTGAACCCCATCTTACAACTGGCCTTTCTTATCTGTTGGTAACTGCTGTGGATGACTTACAAAATTACAAATATCACTCTGCCTCACTTAGTCTGTACCAAGTTCCAGCCTCAGACTTTTTCCACAGTGGTCCATGGTTTCCCTGATCCCAAGGCGAAACTATAATCACCCTATCACTACAACCAGTTTTATTTTCTAAACTATCGTGGTCATGTGCAAATATTATATTTGAAATAAATTCATCAGATATGAACTAAATTGTTTTAAAAATAGTTTAATGAATGATCCTCTAATAGATTTTAAGGTAAGAGTTATAGACATATAGAAAAACAAGGCTGGGAAGGCCCTTCATAGAATAATCTAATCCAAGTGCTTTTCTTTAGTGAAAGAAATTGGAACAGGTGATTAGCTATTCTTTCCTTAAGGTCTTACAAAATATTCCATAACTCTCTTAGCAATCCAGTTTAGTATTTAGTCACACTGATGATCAATATACTCTTCAGGTCCATTTCTTCATCACCTAGGACTAAATATTTTTAATATTCTGCCTATACTGTGTTCCAGAATCAGGTTCCTCACCAGGGCTGGCTCATAATAAAGCTTGCACAGGTCCATGGAGAAATGTGAAAAACAGGCAAAGTAGTGAAATTTCCATACAGATACATTTATACAGTTGAAGGAGGTGTCCTTTATTATACAATTAAGAGCTTTCTATTTTGAAAATATTCCTTATTTTATGATATGATAGTGCAAACAGTCATTTTTTTCAATGCCCATATTTAGGCAAATGTGAATCAGAAGCTGACAACCATCTATTGGTTCTCATAATTTTTTAAACTCAAATTTTAGGTTATTCTCTGGATTGTAACACAAGCTCTTCACTGTTTACAAAATTAGTTTATGAACTGTAAAAATTCTCTCTTCATGTTTTTTTCCCTGTATTGCCAAGTTTTTCTCCTGTATTCCCCCATTCAATGTTGGCTGCCACAATCAGACAGGAAACGCAAGGACACTTCTTTCTTGCATCTGCAGTGGAAATCTTAGTGGCAAACAATAACTTCTCAGGTTGTCAATAGATGCATCTCATAATTTAAAAAACTTTCCTGGGGTATGAGATCCCAAAGCTTGCAAAAATCTGGAGAGAGCAATCAGTTTCTGGAAAGATTATACTTAGCTCAGAACAAAGACCACAGAAAGCTAAATGTCTTTAAAACCACAAGAAACATCATCCTTAAGTGTGTTTATTTTAAATTAAGAATATAAAAGTAAGAATTAAGCTTTCATTAAAAGTATCATAGATTATCTTGTTGCTCACTTTACAGAAAAATATTTTATAATGAATGGTTGAAGACATTATTATTATACAATCAGCATCTGTATCTGTTAAAATAACCCTGAATGACCTATTCATTCTTTCTATAATCTTTGCATAAACTAGAGAAAATATGCAACACATCAAGTTGCATTTCTGTCTATAGAATGAATTTTCAGATAGCGTTTAAAAATTAATTTCAAAGTTTAATTTTTAGGACATTTTTGAAATTATATAAAAATTCACTTTTTCAACAGGAATTCAAAAAAAATCTTAAACCTCAGAATTATTTCCAAATTTAGAGTATAAGTTTTGAAAAAAAATTTTTTCTAACTTAGAAAAGAATCCATCTAGTAACTAAAGCTTAATAACCATGACTGGGGCTGGAACAGGAAGTTGAGGAAAAGTAACATCAGAGAGAAAAATATAAAGATAAAATATTCTTCACTTACCCGGCAACATTAGGCATATCATCTTAGAACAAAAAAAATTTGGAAGCATCAATTTAGTAAACATATTAGCAAGTAGTGAGTATTATTTCATACAGTGATTAGAATTGCTGAGAAATGACATGTCATAACAAATAATGAAATTCAGGGTTCCAAAAGTAAATCACTATAAGGTCCTAACTTTATTTTATTATCTGTAATTTAAAACCTTACCACTTTTTAATAAATTACTATACAGACCATACAACTACAAAGAAATTCCCAAGTTATACACGGTAAATATCACAAAAAAAAGAATTATAATGTCATGTAGAAAATAGCCTTGAACAAAAGCTTCTCCAAAAGAAGGCATTTCAGGAAAAATGTCGCATTTTAGATAAATTATAGAAAACTATATATATTAAGAAAAATTGTTTCCCTGAAAATGAGCTAAAAATAATGGAATATGTTGCCATTAAAAATGTTAAGGTCAGGCCACGATGTGGTGGCTCACGCCTGTAATCCCAACATTTTGGGAGGCTGAGGTGGTGAGTCACCTGAGTGAGGATTCGAGGCAGTTGGCCAACATGGCAAAACCCCCTCTCTACTAAAAATACAAAAATTAGCCGGGCATGGTAGTGGGCGCCTGTAATCCCAGCTCTCAGGAGGCTGAGGCGGGAGAATTGCTTGAACTCAGGAAGCAGAGGCTGCAGTGAGCTGAGATCGGGCCGTTGCACTTCAGCCTAGATGACAAAGAGTGAAATCCGTCTCAAAAAAAAAAAAAAAAAAGTTTAGGTCATGAAATATAAAATTACATTAGCAGAATTCATTTTTTCTACTTAAAAAAAAATATTTCATAGACCAGAAATATATATTAAGTATAGAAATAAAGGGTGAGAATCTTTTTTGGTTTTTTTTTTGGAGACAAGGTCTAGCTGAGACCACACCTGGCTAATTTTAGTAAAAGTTGGGGTTTCACCATGTTACTCCAGGCTGGTCTGAAACTCCTGGGCTGAAGAGATCTGCTTGCCTTGGCCTCCCAAGATGCTAGGATTACAGGTGTCAGCCATTGCACCAGGCCCCAAAAGTGAGAATCTTAATGGAAAGAGATTCAAAGCCACCCTGACACGAGGAGTCTAAGAGTCAAACTCATGGAGGCTAAGAACAGAATGGTGGTTGCCAGGAGCTGAGGGGAGGCGGGAAAGACGAGTTACCGTACAGTGGGCAGAAGTTTCAGTTATTCAAGATAAGTTTCAGACATCTGCTGTACAATAGTGGGCCTACATTAAAAATACTGTATTATACACTTAAAAATCTATTAAGGAGGTGGTTCTTATAGCAAGTATTCTTACCACAATAAAAAAAAATGAACACTAAAAAAATTTCATTAGTCTCCACAGAAAGCGGGAACAGAACTGTGGACTCCATCCATACCTGTGAGAACCACAGTGTGCTCTCCGCCACAAAGCTACTTGGATCACCTTCTCAGGAATTTCAGACACCAGCTGGGGTGTTCTGTGATTGCTCAGGAGCTGATTAGGAAGACCTAACTTCCCATTCTCAGGTTCTCCAAATATATAGCTCACCATCTGCTATGAAGGAAAAGTACAGTGATTAGTGATGACATACATATGAACAAAAGCTGATCTACCTTCAAAAAAATGTTTTGACAAGGATAACTTAATACATTTGCTCTTCGAGATATTTTCACTGTATGATAAGGAAATAAAGCTAGATTTTCTTTCCCTTGATTATTTTAATCCAGTAATTTTCATGAAAAATTCATGACTACCACTACTAATAAACAACTAGAAATCATTTTAGTGCTTTCACAAAAGTGAAGAATATCTTGTGTCTTCTACTTACTTAAAGCTCCCATAAAAACACGAATTTTGTCTTGGCTTCCTTACA